CTCAGAGAGCTGCAAGGAGCTGCTGCAGGAGCAGGTGAGGTGGAAATTTGGGGGAAAGTAAAGGGTTGGTGCTCCTGAAGTTTTATTCTTTTGTTGTTTTTACCCTATACCAGCCTCTGTTCATTGTGATTGTAACCAAACTGATGGCAGCGTTTAAAATGAGTTTGTGGTGCAGTCCAGCAGTGTCTGCTCTGCCTTTCCTTGAGCCACCTGAGGAGAAGGAGTTTTATAAACTTCAGGGTTTGTGTTTGGCTGGGAACATCCCCCTGCCTTCCCTGACAGAGCTCTGAGAATGCTGGAAGGAGTCTGGAGCACTGGGCTCTGCATTCCTCCATGGCTGGCAGGAGGCTGTGCAGAATCTGCAGCAGCAGATTAACACTGCCAGAGCCACAAATCAAAGCACTTCCACTTCCACCCCGCTCCCACCTATTATGCAGGGGGAGAAAAGAAAATCTCCATCTCCTCAGACAAGAGGGAAAAAAAGAGATGGAATTAGGGTTTAAAATCATTTTGGTTTGCATTTCATTCCGCCTGGCACTGTCAGCGATACACGGCGCCTACAGAAGAATTAGAAAGATTATTGTGGAATAGAAGGCAGAGCCACAGCGTGTTTGACAATATGCTCTGTATTTTACCTTCATTAGGACGGGGAGCTTGAAATACTCATTTCTTTATGATGAAGGAACTAAAGATTTCCAATGAGAGCAGAGCAGGGAGCAGGCAGGGGAGATTTATTGCTAAAGCAGCTTCTTAATCACAGCAAGCACCTGCACTCAGTGGTGGAGATGCTTCTCCACCAGGGCAAGGGGCGGCCCTGGGGTGGGATTCAGCCAGCCCTGAGGAAATTCGGGTGCAGAGATTTTGGGAAGCCCCAGTCTGGATGTGCACCCCTCCAGAGGGGACAGCGGTGCCACCACGGGCCTGCTGCATTTGGGATCTTTGTGCTGGTGTGGACGCTCCTTCATTAGGGGTCAATAATTAACTGTTCACCCTCTTTGTGCCCAGCTGGAGGGGCAGCCTGGCCCTGGGCACCCCTGGCAGGCTCCAGCAAAGCCTGTCCTGCCTTGGGACTCTCCAGCAGCTGGATGGGGTCAGCACAGCTGGATCAGGTCAGCAGCTGGGATGGGGAATGTTTCCAAAATCCATGGATGGACGCCCAGTCCCATGGCTGGCCTGGGGAAGGTTCAGCTCCTGCTCTCAGTTCCTGCTCTCAGCCCCTGTCCCCGCTCTGCTGGGTGGCCCTGGGCTCATGGGACACTCTGGGGACACTTTGGAACCCAGCTGTTCTCCAAAGTGGCACCAGAAGCCACAGGGGCTCTCAGCCTCCTCAGGTGACCTTTCCTTGGCCACTTTGCTTGGTTTGTGACCTGCTCCTGGCAGGGACATGTGCAGCCCTGGAGGGGGAAACATGAGCACGCAGCAGAATATTTGTTTAAAAAGAGTTGGGAGTGGGGTGCAGAGCTTGGGTCACGCTCAGGAGCCACAGGAAGGAGAGGAGAAGGTGACGCTGTCACTCCTGGTACGGGCCAGCCTGGCCGATGTTTTCATGTTGTATCTGATTTTTTAACATCACTAAATATTGCTGGGTTCTTTCCAGGGTTATTTTCGTGCTCTCCTCTGTATGATCCCCTTTCTTTCAGCTGGTAGCTGTGGGAAGATGATTAAAAATGGCACATTGTCTGCACCTGGAATCCTGACACAGCCCCGGCACAGGCAATTGTGCTGCTGACAGTAACAAGGCACTCTGGAACTCGGGATCCGGAGACTTTCTGTTCTCCTGCCCTTGCACTTAATGAAACCAGAGTTTGTTTTAGCAAGAAAAAGCCAGAGTTAATTTCAGCTCGGCTCAAACCAGGGGATGCAGAGGCAGGAGCTGGAGTTATGGGAAAATCCGAGCAGAGGAAGGGATAAGGAGCGCTAGGAAAAGAAAAATCCTTTCATTTCCCAAGAAGACATGATGAACAGGAGAGAGAGAAAAAAATCACTTGACAAGGCTCTTCTAAAGAGGAAGAATAGTGCAAAGTGCTGGTTAAATTCCCATTGATCCTTCACTCAGCTTCCCATATACATGTGGGTTTGACTACTTGATACTTCCTTTCACTGTCATAAGTAATAACCGAGGGGAAACAATCATTTCTAAATAACTGCCTATGATTCCTCTATTGTAGTGATTAGTGCTGAATAATTATTAGCTGCTCGGCGTTTCTGCGGGGCTGGGAGGGAGCGGGAGCTGCCTATAGACGGTGCCTATAGATGGTGCTCTTGGCCTCGCACAGCCGCTGCTCGCCGGAACCCGTGTCCGAAACCCGCCGGGAACGGGGGGAAAAGGCAAAAAAGGCAAAAAAGGCAAAAAAGGCTCTTTTCCCCATTCTGTTCCCCTGCCAGGGCTGTCTGGGAAGGGATGGCTCTGTTTGATTGCCCTGGGAATGGCAAAGGTGGAGCAGAGGCAGGTTTGGGTCCTGGCAGGGATGCAGAGCCCCGGGCGATGGCCAAAGCCGTGATCCCGCACTGGCAGCGGCAGCAGCGCTGAAAGGTTCCTCATCACAGGTCCGTGACCCCACAAGGGCGGTTATCAAAGGCACAGACAAAGAGAAATTGTGATCCAGGGCTCCTGGGCTTCCTCCGGTGCTCCCCAGCCCAGCAGAGCCAGAATAATTAGCTGGGAACAGCCTCAGCATGCAGGAGCACGCTGACCATCAGTGAACAACAACCAGGAGGCAGACACGGCCTGCAGAGAGGACAGGAAGGGATGCTGAGACACCCTGCCCTGCCCTGGGAGGCTCTGCACCAGGGGCTGCATTGCTGGGATGTGCATTCCCCCAGGATGGGGTTTGCAGTGGGGTTTGCAGTGGGGTTTGCAATGGGGTTTGTGGGGTTTGGTTCCGTTTCTGGGAACATGCAGCACAGGAGCTGTGCTGGGAACAGAGAGGGAGAGAGAAAAGCCTGCTCAGGAACCAATGCTGCCATCCTCTGAGTGCCTTCTGCTGCCTCTCCCAGGCTCAGCAGCTGCAGCCTGGGGACCTCCCCAGACTGCCAAAGTCCTCAGCAATGGAGCTGCAATGAGGGGACCCTTTCCATGGGGATGGGCTGTGCTGTGCAGAACCTCTGCTCCCTGAGGGCTCTGCAGGGGCTGCTGAGATGATGGAGACCCTGCTGGGATGGGGAGAGCACCAACCAACCTACCAACCTGTGCCTTTCACCCTGGGCGTGGGCAGAAGGGTGGCACCTGCACCTGCACACTGGGATGCAAGGCATTCCCTGCTGGACTTCCCTTTAGGGGTTCTTGAATCCTCTACAGGGGGCAAACAACAAATCCAACCTCAACCGTGTCCTTTTCCACCCAAAACTGCTCTTGCAGGGTCTGGCTGACGTTTACCAGGCAGGGAGATGCAGCAAGGCCACTGCTGTGGCCATGGTGACAGCAGAGAGGGTGACACAGGCTGGGCTGGAGGAGAACTGTGAGAGAACATTGGGCTGGTTTTGTCACTCAGGTTTGTTGTGGAAGAGGCCCTGGATGATGGCTCTGATTTTTCTCTCGCAACTGTCCCAGTGTGTAATAGAAAAATGGTTTAAAAATTCCCGATGACAAGGGCTGGCAAGCAGCAATCCATCATGGTATTGATCCCCTCCACCAGTTGCACTGCTCAGAATCGTTCCCATGGCCCTGGCTGGGTCAGATCAGCTGCACCGTGGTGTTCCTGCCTTTGAGGAGCACAGGGTCCTGCTGTGGCACTGGCACTGCCTTTCCCTCCAGGTGTTTGACTCCAGCTGTTCCCAAACCCCTGTGGGCTGCAGCAGGTGACCAGTGGGGTGTGAGGTGTTGGGAGATGCTCCTCCCTTTGGTCTCCTGCAGCTTCCAGGTGTTTCTAAGGCAGCAGGAGAGGCCAGGTCGTGGCTCCGTGGCTGAAGCACTCAAAGCTAAGGAGGGGATCTCTGCTTCCCAGCAGTGGGTGCTCACAGCCGTGGTCTCCGTGGTTGGGTTCTCTGGTTCCCAAGGCCTCTGTGGTTGGGTTCTGGCAGCTTTTGGCAGCAGCTGTGGGGCTCGGTGGCTTCAGGGCCATTGCAGCACATGCCCAGCTCTCACTCTGCTGCAGGTGACCCAGCCTTGGCAGAGAACCAGGCTGCCAGCCCTTCCAGAGAGGGGAAACTGAGGAATGGAGCTCTCAGGTGCTGCTCCTGCTGCCAGCCCTTCCAGAGAGGGGAAACTGAGGAATGGAGCTCTCAGGTGCTGCTCCTGCTGCCAGCCCTTCCAGAGAGGGTAAACTGAGGAATGGAGCCCTCAGGTGCCGCTCCTGCTGCCAGCCCTTCCAGAGAGGGGAAACTGAGGAATGGAGCTCTCAGGTGCTGCTCCTGCTGCCAGCCCTTCCAGAGAGGGTAAACTGAGGAATGGAGCCCTCAGGTGCCGCTCCTGCTGCCAGCCCTTCCAGAGAGGGGAAACTGAGGAATGGGGAGCTCAGGTGCCGGTCCTGCCCCCAAACTGGAGCGGAGGGGTGCTCAGGGGGTCAGAGCCAGGCCCAGACCCCACAGCCCCGTTCCGCTCCCTGCACCCCCACCCGAGGTGGAGCCGGGACAGCTGCGGGGCAGCCGCGGGGCCCTGTGGGCACAGCTGTGCCGGGAGGGAGGCGCGGGGAGGCCGCCCGGCCGCTGCGGGGCTTTGTTCCGGCGCGGAGCCGCTCCCGGGCCCGGCTGGGCCGCGCTCTGCGGGACGGGGGGCGCAGGTGAGGAGGGCAGGGGGTGCGGGGCCCCCGGGCGGGCACGGAAGGGTTAACCCTGCGCGGGGGCGGCGCGGGGGCGGCGCGGGGAGCGCGCCCGGGCGCGGGGCCGGCGCGGCGCGGGGAGCGCGCCCGGGCTGGGGCGGGCGGATGCGAGCGGAGCCGCGCTCGCCGCACTCGGGCAGCGGCTGCGGAGGCGATGAGAGGCCGGCGGGGCTGAGCCGAGCCGAGCCGAGCCGCGCCGGGCGAGGCCGAGGGGCTGCGGGCAGCGGCGGCGCCCGGCCCCGGATTGATTTCCGCGGTGCCGGGGGCCGCCGGCGTCCCCCGCCCTGAGCCGGGAGCGGCGCAGCGCCCAGGGCCGGTGAGTGGCGGCGGGTGGCGGGGCTGCCGCCCGGAGCCGGGCTGCGGGATCCGCGGGCATCCCCCGCCCGAGGATGCGGGGACGGGCTCGGCATCGCCGCGGCCGTGCCGGATGGCACCGGGGCTGCGGGTGGCACCGGGGCTGCGGAGCGCGGGGTGGTGCCCGTGGAGCTGCGCGGAGATGCCGGGGGTGCCTGGGGAAGGGATGGAGGAGCCCCTCGGTTCCCGGGAATCCATCTCCCGCTGCCTCCCCGCGCTGCTCCGCGTTCCCGTTAGACATCGCCGCCTCCCCGCTCGTTCTGCGGCCGCTCGGCACCGCTCAGTCACGGTCTGGAGCCGATGCAGCGGCAGAAACTCATCCCCATGAAAAGTTGCTGTTAGCAGGGAGGCACTTTCTGGAAAACAGCCCTGAATCTTAGGGGAAAAGACACAAAATCCCCACGAAAACTTTCCGAAACCCGCGGGAGACCCTTTTGGGCGGCGATGAGGGGACAGGTACCGAACGCGCCTGTGCTCCCGGGGGAAATCCCAACTCCCGGGTGATGCTCCCGCTTTCCGCAGCCCCGGAGCCGCCGGGAGGGTGTCGGTGACAGCCGGGGCTGCTCTGGGCGAGCTGTCCTCGCCGTCGTGACCTCCGTTTAACCTGGCACGGTCAGGCACCCCCGGCTTTGTCTCCGTTCGCGCTGCGGCCAATAGCCGCGCGTTCTTGGAGGTGAAGTGAGTGATGTTCAATTAATCTGTGTTCCAAGGGGTATCAGAAAGTCAATAGGTTAATTTTAAGCGAGGTGAATAGTAAGTGGCAGAAGGAAAAGATGCCCTGCGCGTCTGAGAGCAGCAGTGAGGCTCGGAGGTGAGGGAACGTGAAGTTCTCCGAGTGCCATGGTGCGAAACCACCGCTCAAAGGCTGCTCCTGCTCTTGGCTGGGCACTTGATGCTTCGCTGGTGGCTCCAGTGTGCTTGGTAGACCTGGGCTGAGCTGGGGACGCGGTCCTGTCTCCCCTGCTCCGGGTGGCTTCATTGATAAATGTGGCTAAAGTGAGATGAGGTGACCTACTTGCAGCTGAGGGACAGATGCCTCGCAAGAATCTGTGCCATGCTCGGAACAGATGTTTGGCTTTTTACCTTTAGCACAGAGGTGTTAGATCCTTTAGAACTCGATGGGGCTCTTTTTTGGGTCTTTATTGCTGTCCTTGTGCCATTTGTCGTCACTTTGAGGACCCTCGGAGCTCAAACGCGGCACTTTGGGGTGGTGCAGGGGAGCAGATAAAGCAGCTTTGATTCGAGGAGCTCGGCGCTCGCAGCCAGGGACGTGACCCAGCGGTGTCACTTGTGAAACGCCTTATCAGCCAAGGCAGCCATCCCTCCCAACTCTCCCAGCCACATCCCCGGCGCTGGCTGCCAGAAGATAAACTAACCCAATTTACTCCTCATTGTCTTTACGGTGGTGCTGGATGTAATTAATCGCGGGGTCCCCCCGGCTCAGGAGTCGGTGGAAGCAGGTATTGATGCTGTGTGAGACCTGCACGTACCCCTCCACAGGACGGGAGCAGCCCCGGCCGAGCTGTGCCTCGTTCCCCGTTAACCCGAGCCCGTTCCGTTCCCGGAGCTCAGCTGGACGCGGGAGCGGAGCTGGGGGACCCGGGCAGGGCAGCGCCGCCGCTCCTGCCCCGCGCTCTTTAACTCTCCTCTGCAAATTGCATTAGGATGTGACAAATTGGCCGCCGAGCAGCTAAACGGAGATGACATTTGGAGCGCCGTGCCGGGCAGAGCGGCGGAGTCTCGGGGAAATAAATGTGCGATTTGCAGGCTCTTCCCGGCAGCTCCCGCCCGGCTCCGCCACGAGGCTTTCCAGAACTTACTTAGGGAACTCCTGTTGCAGCTAAATTTGGGAGTCTCGAGCATGCCTGGGAAAGGTTGCCCAAAAGCTAGGGCAGATGTAGGTGCAGACTGTGTCTCATGCCGTGGGCAGCTGAGATGAGGAGCAGAACCGGGAGAGAAAGCAAAGCCGATATTTAGAAACTGCGTGAGTGGTGAGGAGCTGAAGGTGGGAAGCTGGGCTGGCTGCTGGTGCCAGCGTGACGCTGTGCCGGGGGTGCGGGGACACCTGTGTCACCGAGGGGTGATCCTGGGGGTGCGGGGACACCTGTGTCACCGAGGGGTGATCCTGGGGGTACAGGGGTGCCTGTGTCACCGAGGGGTGATCCTGGGGGTGTGGGGACACCTGTGTCACCGAGGGGTGATCCTGGGGGTGCGGGGACACCTGTGTCACCGAGGGGTGATCCTGGGGGTGCAGGGGTGCCTGTGTCACCAAGGGGTGATCCTGGGGGTACAGAGACACCTGTGTCACCGAGGGGTGATCCTGGGGGTGCAGGGGTGCCTGTGTCACCGAGGGGTGATCCTGGGGGTACAGGGGTGCCTGTGTCACCGAGGGGTGATCCTGGGGGTGTGGGGACACCTGTGTCACCGAGGGGTGATCCTGGGGGTGCGGGGGTGCCTGTGTCACCGAGGGGTGATCCTGGGGGTGCGGGGACACCTGTGTCACCGAGGGGTGATCCTGGGGGTACAGGGGTGCCTGTGTCACCGAGGGGTGATCCTGGGGGTGCGGGGACACCTGTGTCACCGAGGGGTGATCCTGGGGGTGCAGGGGTGCCTGTGTCACCAAGGGGTGATCCTGGGGGTGCGGGGACACCTGTGTCACCAAGGGGTGATCCTGGGGGTACAGAGACACCTGTGTCACCGAGGGGTGATCCTGGGGGTGCGGGGACACCTGTGTCACCGAGGGGTGATCCTGGGGGTGCGGGGGTGCCTGTGTCACCGAGGGGTGATCCTGGGGGTGCGGGGACACCTGTGTCGCCGAGGGGTGATCCTGGGGGTGCAGGGGTGCCTGTGTCACCGAGGGGTGATCCTGGGGGTACAGAGACACCTGTGTCACCGAGGGGTGATCCTGGGGGTGCGGGGGAGCCTGTGTCACCGAGGGGTGATCCTGGGGGTGCGGGACACCTGTGTCACCGAGGGGTGATCCTGGGGGTGCGGGGCATCTTTACTCACTAAAGGATGCTCTACTGATGGAGCAGGGGCACGTTTGCTCCTAGATGGATGCTCTCCTGGGGGACCAGGGGGACCTTTGTAACTGATGGGTGGTCCTGGAGGTGCAGACACACCTTTATTCACCAAGGGATGATCCTCGAGGAGCAGGGGCACCTTTGTCACTGAGGGGTGATCCTGGGGGTGAAGAGACGCCTTTGTTCACTAAAGGACGCTCTCCTGGGGGAGCAGGGGTGTTTTTGCTCACCAAGGGATGATCCTGGGGGAGCAGGGAAACCTTTGCTCACTGATGGATGCTCTCCTGGTGGAGCAGAGGTACCTTTGCTCACCAAGGGATGATCCTGAAGGAGCAGAGGTCCTTTGCTCACTAAAGGATGCTCTCCTGGTGGAGCAGGGGCACCTTCGTTCACCGAGGGGTGATCCTGGTGGAGCAGGGGTATCTTTGCTCACCGAGGGATATCCCGGGGATGCAGGGGTATTTTTGCTCACAGAGGGATATCCCGGGGATGCAGGGGTATCTTTGCTCACCGAGGGACACCTTGGGGATGCAGGGATGCCTTTGCTGGTTCGTGGCTCTCGGAGAAGGGACTGCCCCACATCCCAACAGCGGCGTGCCCACCTGCCCCTCTCACCCCGCCTCTCCAGCACACCCGCGGCCGCTCGCACACGGCGCTGATCAAGCTGCTTTAATTGGCCCCTCTGCAGCCCGAACGATAAATATGTAACGGGGCAGAGTGCCCGCTGCTGCTCCCGGCTCCGAGCCTGTCATTTCTGACGGGGCAGGGCGGGCTCGCTCCCCTCGCCTCCGCCCTGCGACAGCCGCGCTCCCCCTCCTGCCTCCGGCATCCTTAAAAACAGCGGAAAAAAAACCTGGAAAAAAGGTGAACCTGAGCATGCAGTGCTCCTGAGACAGGCCCCTTCACATTTCTAAACACTCCTGATTATTCAGCTAATCTTTATTTCATGGGCCTGTTACAAGAAACACAAACGGGGGAGAAAGTAGAAGGCGGTGACACATTTAAAATACACAAGAAAAGTGCTGGCAGGAATATAATCGTTCTTCTTCCAGCGATATGAAATATTTATGGGCCTAAGTTGTGGCAAGAGTCTCTGCCTCCCCTCCCACCTAACTCCGGGATGTTTTTGCCGGTACAACAGGAACTGGGGGCACCGCTGGTGCTGCCTGTCTGCAGGGCACGCAGCTGGCCGGGCACAGCGTCCGTCTGTCCGTCTGTCCGTGCAGGCTGCCCGGCTCAAACGGGAGCGGAGCTGTTACAGTCTGTTAACTCCAAATAATTCAGCAGCGTCCCCTCGGCGAGCCGTGCAAAGCCCCCTTTGAGGTGCCCGTGCTGCGGAGGAGCCGCTGCTCCCCCGGGGCACTCTGCTATTAATTCATTACATCTGAGGGGTTTTTTTCCTCCCGTCCCCCCTCTTTTCTCTTCCCCACCCCACCCCCCCCCTCTCCCTGGCAATTCAAACAGTGATGAATGGACAAAAATCCCTCAAGGGAAACATTTTTTCACTTAGTTACAAAGATTTCATGGCTAATTAGAGTAAATGTAGTTTTTAGAGTGTTAATCTCTTAACCAGCTTGGCTGGGAGGCCACGGCCACCACAGCAAAGGGGAGGGCGGGGGGCACCGAGGTGTTCCCGACCCCTCGGGGCTGGGGCGGTGTCGGTGCCCCCGGAGCATCCCCGGCACCTCCTCGGGCGGTGCCAGCTCCAGGGTGGGCACGGCGGGGCCGGGAGCGCCCGGTGCGCCCGGGGAGCGGCGGCTGAAAAGCGCAGCGGGGGCCGAAGGGAATCCAGGGCGGCAGCGCTGCCTGCAGCGCAAATAACCGGATTTACTGCGGGATGTGCCCGCAGGGACTCGGGCTGGGCTGCGTCCCCGCGTGTGGCTGTGCCACAGGGTGGCCCTGCCACCTCTCCTGAGTGCGGGCACACAGCGGGTCCGTG